TATAACACTGACAGCTATAGTATTGTATATAACACTGTCAGCTATAGTATTGTATATAACACTGTCAGCTACTGTGTTGTATATAACACGGTCAGCTACTGTGTTGTATATAACACTGTCAGCTACTGTATTGTATATAACACTGTCAGCTACTGTATTGTATATAACACGGTCAGCTACTGTATTGTATATAACACTGTCAGCTATAGTATTGTATATAACACTGTCAGCTATAGTATTGTATATAACACTGTCAGCTATAGTATTGTATATAACACTGTCAGCTATAGTATTGTATATAACACTGTCAGCTACTGTATTGTATATAACACTGTCAGCTACTGTATTGTATATAACACTGTCAGCTACTGTATTATATATAACACTGTCAGCTACTGTAGTGTATATAACACGGTCAGCTACTGTATTGTATATAACACGGTCAGCTACTGTATTGTATATAACACTGTCAGCTATAGTATTGTATATAACACTGTCAGCTACTGTATTGTATATAACACGGTCAGCTACTGTATTGTATATAACACTGTCAGCTACTGTATTGTATATAACACTGTCAGCTATAGTATTGTATATAACACTGTCAGCTATAGTATTGTATATAACACTGTCAGCTACTGTATTGTATATAACACTGTCAGCTACTGTATTATATATAACACTGTCAGCTACTGTAGTGTATATAACACTGTCAGCTATAGTATTGTATATAACACTGTCAGCTACTGTATTATATATAACACTGTCAGCTATAGTATTGTATATAACACTGTCAGCTACTGTATTATATATAACACTGTCAGCTACTGTAGTGTATATAACACTGTCAGCTATAGTATTGAATATAACACTGTCAGCTACTGTATTGTATATAACACTGTCAGCTATAGTATTGTATATAACACTGTCAGCTACTGTATTGTATATAACACTGACAGCTATAGTATTGTATATAACACTGTCAGCTATAGTATTGTATATAACACTGTCAGCTACTGTGTTGTATATAACACGGTCAGCTACTGTGTTGTATATAACACTGTCAGCTACTGTATTGTATATAACACTGTCAGCTACTGTATTGTATATAACACGGTCAGCTACTGTATTGTATATAACACTGTCAGCTATAGTATTGTATATAACACTGTCAGCTATAGTATTGTATATAACACTGTCAGCTACTGTATTGTATATAACACTGTCAGCTATAGTATTGTATATAACACTGTCAGCTACTGTATTGTATATAACACGGTCAGCTACTGTATTGTATATAACACTGTCAGCTACTGTATTGTATATAACACTGTCAGCTATAGTATTGTATATAACACTGTCAGCTACTGTATTGTATATAACACGGTCAGCTACTGTATTGTATATAACACTGTCAGCTATAGTATTGTATATAACACTGTCAGCTATAGTATTGTATATAACACTGTCAGCTATAGTATTGTATATAACACTGTCAGCTATAGTATTGTATATAACACTGTCAGCTACTGTATTGTATATAACACTGTCAGCTACTGTATTGTATATAACACTGTCAGCTACTGTATTATATATAACACTGTCAGCTACTGTAGTGTATATAACACTGTCAGCTATAGTATTGTATATAACACTGTCAGCTACTGTATTGTATATAACAATGTCAGCTACTGTATTGTATATAACACTGTCAGCTACTGTAATGTATATAACACTGCCAGCTACTGTAATGTATATAATACGGTCAGCTACTGTATTGTATAAAACACTGTCAGCTACTGTATTGTATATAACACTGTCAGCTATTGTATTGTATATAACACTGTCAGCTACTGTATTGTATATAACACTGTCAGCTACTGTATTGTATATAACACTGTCAGCTACTGTATTGTATATAACACTGTCAGCTACTGTAGTGTATATAACAGGGTCAGCTACTGTATTGTATATAACACTGTCAGCTACTGTATTGTATATAACACGGTCAGCTACTGTATTGTATATAACACTGTCAGCTACTGTATTGTATATAACACGGTCAGCTACTGTATTGTATATAACACTGTCAGCTACTGTATTGTATATAACACTGTCAGCTACTGTATTGTATATAACACGGTCAGCTACTGTATTGTATAAAACAATGTCATCTACTGAATTGTATATAACACTGTCAGCTACTGTATTGTATATAACACTGTCATCTACTGAATTGTATATAACACTGTCCGCTACTGTATTGTATATAACACTGTCATCTACTGAATTGTATATAACACGGTCAGCTACTGTATTGTATAAAACAATGTCATCTACTGAATTGTATATAACACGGTCAGCTACTGTATTGTATAAAACAATGTCATCTACTGAATTGTATATAACACTGTCAGCTACTGTATTGTATATAACACGGTCAGCTACTGTAATGTATATAACACTGTCATCTACTGAATTGTATATAACACTGTCAGCTACTGTATTGTATATAACACTGTCAGCTACTGTATTGTATATAACACTGTCAGCTACTGTATTGTATATAACACTGTCAGCTATAGTATTGTATATAACACTGTCAGCTACTGTATTGTATATAACACTGTCAGCTACTGTATTGTATATAACACTGTCAGCTACTGTATTGTATATAACACTGTCAGCTACTGTATTGTATATAACACGGTCAGCTACTGTATTGTATATAACACTGTCAGCTACTGTATTGTATATAACACTGTCAGCTACTGTATTGTATATAACACTGTCAGCTATTGTATTGTATATAACACTGTCAGCTATAGTATTGTATATAACACTGTCAGCTATTGTATTGTATATAACACTGTCAGCTATTGTATTGTATATAACACTGTCAGCTACTGTATTGTATATAACACTGTCAGCTATTGTATTGTATATAACACTGTCAGCTACTGTATTGTATATAACACTGTCAGCTATTGTATTGTATATAACACTGTCAGCTATTGTATTGTATATAACACTGTCAGCTATTGTATTGTATATAACACTGTCAGCTATAGTATTGTATATAACACTGTCAGCTACTGTATTGTATATAACACTGTCAGCTATTGTATTGTATATAACACTGTCAGCTACTGTATTGTATATAACACTGTCAGCTATTGTATTGTATATAACACTGTCAGCTACTGTATTGTATATAACACTGTCAGCTACTGTATTGTATATAACACTGTCAGCTACTGTATTGTATATAACACTGTCAGCTACTGTATTGTATATAACACTGTCAGCTATTGTATTGTATATAACACTGTCAGCTACTGTATTGTATATAACACCGTCAGCTATTGTATTGTATATAACACGGTCAGCTACTGTATTGTATATAACACTGTCAGCTACTGTATTGTATATAACACTGTCAGCTATTGTATTGCATATAACACTGTCAGCTACTTTGTTGTATATAACACTGTCAGCTATAGTATTGTATATAATACTGTCAGCTATAGTATTGTATATAATACCGTCAGCTATAGTATTGTATATAACACTGTCAGCTACTTTATTGTATATAACACTGTCAGCTATAGTATTGTATATAATACTGTCAGCTATAGTATTGTATATAATACTGTCAGCTATAGTATTGTATATAATACTGTCAGCTATAGTATTGTATATAATACTGTCAGCTATGGTATTGTATATAACACTGTCAGCTACTATATTGTAATTAACACTGTCAGCTATTGTATTGTATATAATACTGTCAGCTATAGTATTGTATATAACACTGTCAGCTACTATATTGTATATAACACTGTCAGCTATAGTATTTTATATAACACTGTCAGCTATAGTATTGTATATAACACTGTCAGCTATAGTATTGTATATAACACTGTCAGCTATAGTATTGTATATAACACTGTCAGCTACTGTATTGTATATAACACTGTCAGCTATAGTATTGTATATAACACTGTCAGCTATAGTATTGTATATAACACTGTCAGCTATAGTATTGTATATAACACTGTCAGCTATAGTATTGTATATAACACTGTCAGCTATAGTATTGTATATAACACTGTCAGCTATAGTATTGTATATAACACTGTCAGCTATAGTATTGTATATAACACTGTCAGCTACTGTATTGTATATAACACTGTCAGCTACTGTATTGTATATAACACTGTCAGGAACTGTATTGTATATAACACTGTCAGCTATAGTATTGTATATAACACTGTCAGCTATAGTATTGTATATAACACTGTCAGCTATAGTATTGTATATAACACTGTCAGCTACTATATTGTAATTAACACTGTCAGCTATAGTATTGTATATAACACTGTCAGCTATAGTATTGTATATAACACTGTCAGCTATAGTATTGTATATAACACTGTCAGCTATAGTATTGTATATAACACTGTCAGCTATAGTATTGTATATAACACTGTCAGCTATAGTATTGTATATAACACTGTCAGCTATAGTATTGTATATAACACTGTCAGCTACTGTATTGTATATAACACTGTCAGCTATAGTATTGTATATAACACTGTCAGCTACTGTATTGTATATAACACTGTCAGCTATAGTATTGTATATAACACTGTCAGCTATAGTATTGTATATAACACTGTCAGCTACTGTATTGTATATAACACTGTCAGCTATAGTATTGTATATAACACTGTCAGCTACTGTATTGTATATAACACTGTCAGCTATAGTATTTGTATATAACACTGTCAGCTATAGTATTGTATATAACACTGTCAGCTACTGTATTGTATATAACACTGTCAGCTATAGTATTGTATATAACACTGTCAGCTATAGTATTGTATATAACACTGTCAGCTATAGTATTGTATATAACACTGTCAGCTATAGTATTGTATATAACACTGTCAGCTACTATAATGTAGATAATATTGTTAAATATGTATATAATTCAGACAGCTTAACGTGACTGCCAGTGACGCCATCTTGGGCGCTGTTCGTGCCAAGTTCTCTGAGTCACCTTTCCTCTTTGCTGATCCTGCCCGCTCCGTTCGGATACTCACTGGTTCAGAGGAGGGAATCTCCTCGTGGATCACCAGCAATTATGTGGCTAATGCCTTTAAAGTGGTGAGTTAGTTACAGACACAGTGGTGAGTTAGTTACAGACACAGTGGTGAGTTAGTTACAGACACAGTGGTGAGTTAGTTACAGACACAGTGGTGAGTTAGTTACAGACACAGTGGTGAGTTAGTTACAGTCACAGTGGTGAGTTAGCTACAGACAGTGGTGAGTTAGTTACAGACACAGTGGTGAGTTAGTTACAGACACAGGGTGAGTTAGTTACAGACACAGTGGTGAGTTAGTTACAGACACAGTGGTGAGTTAGTTACAGACACAGTGGTGAGTTAGTTACAGACACACTGGTGAGTTAGTTAAAGACACAGTGGTGAGTTAGTTACAGTCACAGTGGTGAGTTAGTTACAGACACAGTGGTGAGTTAGTTACAGACACAGTGGTGAGTTAGTTACAGACACAGACACATACAACAGTTATCAAAATCCGGTTCTAAGTGAGTTTTTAAAAGACGGTTTGAGTAGGTTTCCTTACATTGGTTAAAAAGACGGTTGTAAGTGAGTTTTCTGTACAGTGGTAATTAAAAGACGGTTGTAGGTGAGTTTACTGTACAGTGGTTATTAAAAAACGGTTCTAAGTAAGTTAACTGTAAAGTGGTTTTTAAAAAACACAATTGTGAGTTAATTCATTGTACAGTGATAAGTGAGAGATACAGTAATGACACTAGAACTGTGACTAAAACTGGAAAAAGAAGACCTGTAACTAGAAGTGATAAATGGAGATCTGTGACTAAAAGTAATAAATTGAGATCTGTGACTAGAAGTGATACCTGTTGACTTGCGACTAAAAGTGAAAACTATAGATACCAGGAGACCTGTGCCTAGAAGTGATAAATTGAGAACTGTGACTGCAAGTGATAAATGGAGACCTGACACTACAAGTGATAAAGGAACAAATGTGACTAGAAGTTTCAAATGGAGATCTGTGACTAGAAGTGATAAATGGAGACAGCGACTAGAAGATAAAAACGAAGACCTGTGTCAAGAAGTGATAATCGGAGACCTGTGACTAGCTAATAACCGGATATCTGTGACGAGGTGATAACCGGAGATCTGTGAATGGGTGATAGCTGGAGACCTCTGACTAGGTGATAACCGGATATCTGTGACTAGGTAATAACCGGAGATCTGTGAATGGGTGATAACCGGAGATCTGTGAATGGGTGATAACTGGAGACCTCTGACTAGGTGATAACCGGATATCTGTGACTAGGTAATAACCGGAGATCTGTGAATGGGTGATAACCGGAGATCTGTGACTAGGTGATAACCGGAGATCTGTGACTACGTGATAACCGGAGATCTGTGACTATGTGATAACTGGAGATCTGTGAATAGGTGAAAAACGGAGACCTGTGACTAGGTGATAACTGGAGATCTGTGACTAGGTGATAACCGGAGATCTGTGACTAGGTGATAACCGGAGACCTGTGACTAGGTAATAACCAAAGATCTGTGACTAGGTGATTAACGGAGTTCTGTGAATCGGTGATAACCGCAGATCTGTGAATGAGTGATAACCGGAGATCTGTGAATGGGTGAAACCGGAGATCTGTGACTATGTGATAACAGGAGATCTGTGAATGGGTGATAACCGGAGATCTGTGACTAGGTGATAACCGGAGATCTGTGAATGGGTGAAACCGGAGATCTGTGACTATGTGATAACAGGAGATCTGTGAATGGGTGATAACCGGAGATCTGTGACTAGGTGATGACCGGAGATCTGTGACTACGTGATAACCGGAGATATGTGACTAGGTGATAACTGGAGATCTGTGAATGGGTGATAACCGGAGACCTGTGACTAGGTGATAACCGGAGATCTGTGACTAGGTGATAACAGGAGATCTGTGAATGGGTGATAACCGGAGATCTATGAATGGTTGATAACCGGAGATCTGTGACTAGGTGATAACCGGAGACCTGTGACTAGGTGATAACCGGAGATCTGTGAATGGGTGATAACCTGAGATCTGTGAATGGGTGATAACCGGAGATCTGTGAATGGGTGATAAACGGAGATCTGTGACTTGGTGATAACCGGAGATCTGTGAATGAGTGATAACCGGAGATCTGTGAATGGGTGATAACCGGAGATCTGTGACTAGGTGATAACCGGAGATCTGTGAGTGGGTGATAACCCTAGATCTGTGACTAGGTGATAACCGGAGATCTGTGAATGGGTGATAATCGGAGATCTGTGACTAGGTGATAACCATAGATCTGTGACTACGTGATAACCGGAGATCTGTGACTAGGTGATAACTGGAGATCTGTGAATGGGTGATAACAGGAGACCTCTGACTAGGTGATAACTGGAGATCTGTGACTAGGTGATGACCGGAGATCTGTGAATGAGTGATAACCGGAGATCTGTGAATGGGTGATAAACGGAGATCTGTGAATGTGTAATAACTGGAGATCTGTGAATGGGTGATAACCGGAGATCTGTGACTAGGTGATAACCGGAGATCTGTGACTAGGTGATAACCGGAGATCTGTGACTAGGTGATAACCGGAGATCTGTGACTAGGTGATAACCGGTGATCTGTGAATGGGTGATAATTGGAGATCTGTGAATGAGTGATAACCGGAGATCTGTGATCAGGTGATAACCGGAGATCTGTGAATGGATGATAACCCTAGATCTGTGACTAGGTTATAACCGGAGATCTGTGACTACGTGATAACCGGAGATCTGTGACAAGGTGATAACCGGAGATCTGTGACTACGTGATAACCGGAGATCTGTGACTAGGTGATAACTGTAGATCTGTGAATGGGTGATAACCGGAAACCTGTGACTAGGTGATAACTGGAGACTTGTGACTAGGGGATTGTTGTGTGCAATATATGGGAAGGGAAGTTCATTGTTGAACGTGGGACTTGGTGCGGTGCGCACACATTGAACGTGATGAGAGAGAGAGAGAGAGTGAGTAACGGTGGACTCTACTACGCTGTGTAGGAAGCCTGTTCTAATCTGGATGGATCCAGGCTGGTCCTGCATAACTGTGTTACGCTGGCGGTAGGGTACGGGCTGTCTGTGAGTGTTGTTACAGCGGTCGCGCCAGCGTGACAGACGCTCGTGTGGCCGCAGACGAAAGGTCTGGACAAGTTTCACAATGTACTGTGCATCGGCCTGTATGATTCTGCTATGACAGTGTACCCAAGGGATGGGTGTGATAGAGGTAGACACATAATCACGAGCAGTGAGTTTGCACGAGCAGGTAATGTTTGCTCGTAGTTGACCACGGAACAGGGTGGCAGTAGAAGTAGCCCAGAGCGTCCGTAGTGTGTGTTGCCTTGCCAGTAGGAATGACTGTGGCGGTGTAACGTTTTATTCTCGTGATGCCTTTCATTGTTTTGGTGTTGAAATTAGAAATACATTAATTCTGTTTGACGTTCAACATGTATCCGGCGTCCTTATTGCTGTTGGGCGGGAATGGTGACTTGTTACTGTAACACTATTTAACATACCATGGATACTTGGCAAGTGTGCGTTGTATCAAGCGAACATTCGCACACGTCAGGGATAACCGGAGATCTGTGAATGGGTGATAACCGGAGATCTGTGACTAGGTGATAACCGAAGACCTGTGACTAGGTGATAACCGGAGATCTGTGAATGGGTGATAACCCGAGATCTGTGAATGGGTGATAACCGGAGATCTGTGACTAGGTGATAACCGGAGACCTGTTACAAGGTGATAACCGGAGATCTGTGAATGGGTGACAACCGGAGATCTGTGAATGGGTGATAACCGGAGATCTGTGAATGGGTAATAACCGGAGATCTGTGAATGGGTGATAACCGGAGATCTGTGAATGGGTGATAACCGATCTGTGAATGAGTGATAACCGGGGATCTGTGAATGGGTGATGACCGGAGATCTGTTACTAGGTGATAACCGGAGATCTGTGAATGGGTGATAACCCTAGATCTGTGACTAGGTGATAACTGGAGATCTGTGACTACGTGATAACCGGAGATCTGTGACTAGGTGATAACTGGATATCTGTGAATGGGTCATAACCGGGGACCTGTGACTAGGTGATAACCGGAGACCTGTGACTAGGTGATAACCGGAGATCTGTGAATGGGTGATAACCCTATATCTGTTAGGTGATAACCGGAGATCTGTGACTACGTGATAACTGGAGATCTGTTACTAGGTGATAACTGGATATCTTTGAATGGGTGATAACCGGAGATCTGTGAATGGGTAATAACTGGTGATCTGTGAATGAGTGATAACCGGAGATCTGTGACTAGGTGATAACTGCAGATCTGTGACTAGGTGATAACCGGAGATCTGTGACTAGGTGATAACCGGAGATCTGTGACTAGGTGATAACCGGAGATCTGTGAATGGGTGATAATTTGAGATCTGTGAATGAGTGATAACCGGAGATCTGTGAATGGGTGATAACCGGAGATCTGTGACCAGGTGATAACCGGAGATCTGTGAATGGATGATAACCCTAGATCTGTTACTAGGTGATAACCGGAGATCTGTTACTACGTGATAAACGGAGATCTGTGACTAGGTGATAACCGGAGATCTGTGACTACGTGATAACCGGAGATCTGTGACTAGGTGATAACTGTAGATCTGTGAATGAGTGATAACCGGAAACCTGTGACTAGGTGATAACTGGAGACCTGTGACTAGGTGATAACCGGAGATCTGTGAATGGGTGATAACCGGAGATCTGTGACTAGGTGATAACCGGAGACCTGTGACTAGGTGATAACCGGAGATCTGTGAATGGGTGATAACCGGAGATCTGTGAATGGGTGATAACCGGAGATGTGTGACTAGGTGATAACCGGAGACCTGTGACTAGGTGATAACCGGAGATCTGTGAATGGGTGACAACCGGAGATCTGTGAATGGGTGATAACCGGAGATCTGTGAATGTGTAATAACCGGAGATCTGTGAATGGGTGATAACCGGAGATCTGTGAATGGGTGATAACCGATCTGTCAATGAGTGATAACCGGAGATCTGTGAATGGGTGATGACGGGAGATCTGTTACTAGGTGATAACCGGAGATCTGTGAATTGGTGATAACCCTAGATCTGTGACTAGGTGATAACTGGAGATTTGTGACTACGTGATAACTGGAGATCTGTGACTAGGTGATAACTGGATATCTGTGAATGGGTGATAACCGGTGACCTGTGACTAGGTGATAACCGGAGACCTGTGACTAGGTGATAACCGGAGATCTGTGAATGGGTGATAACCCTAGATTTGTGACTAGGTGATAACCGGAGACCTGTGACTACGTGATAACTGGAGATCTGTGACTAGGTGATAACTGGATATCTTTGAATGGGTGATAACCGGAGACCTGTGACTAGGTGATAACCGGAGACCTGTGACTATGTGATAACCGGAGATCTGTGAATGGGTGATAACCGGAGATCTGTGACTATGTTATAACCGGAGACCTGTGACTAGGTGATAACCGGAGATCTGTGAATGGGTGATAACCGGAGATCTTTGAATGGGTGATAACCGGAGATCTGTGACTCGGTGATAACCGGAGATCTGTGACTAGGTGATAACCGGAGACCTGTGACTAGGTGATAACCGGAGATCTGTGAATGGGTGATAACCGGAGATCTGTGAATGGGTGATAACCGGAGATCTGTGACTAGGTGATAACCGGAGACCTGTGACTGGGTGACAACCGGAGATCTGTGAATGGGTGATAACCGGAGATCTGTGAATGGGTGATAACCGGAGATCTGTGAATTGGTGATCACCGGAGATCTGTGACTAGGTGATAACCGGAGATCTGTGAATGAGTGATAAAAGGAGATCTGTAAATGGGTGATAATCGGAGATCTGTTACTAGGTGATAACCGGAGATCTGTGACTACGTGATAACCGGAGATCTGTGACTAGGTGGTAACCGGAGGTCTGTGACTAGGTGATAACCGGAGACCTTTGACTATGTGATAACCGGTGACCTGTGACTAGGTGATAACCGGAGATCTGTGACTAGGTGATGACTGGAGATCTGTGACTATGTGATAACCGGAGATCTGTGAATGGGTGATAACCGATGACCTGTGACTAGGTGAAGTGCTGAATGACAGTATTATACTTACTGTCCTGAATGACAGTATTATACTTACTGTGCTGTGTGACAGCATAATAACCTACTGTGCTGAGTAACAGTAAAATAAATTTTTCTTTTGGGTGACAGTGAAATAACATACTGTGCTGGGTGAAAGTAAAATAACATACTGTGCTCAGTGACAGTATAATAACTTATTGTGCTGAGTGACAGTGTAATAACTTATTGTGCTGAGTGACAGTATTATGACTTATTGTGCTGAGTGACAGTAAAATAACTTAATGTGCTGAGTGACAGTATAATAACTTATTGTACTTCTTCTTCTTCTTTCTTTCGCCTGAAATAAGTTGTCTATATCAGCAGTTTTGTCACTTGTATAAATGTCACTGTCGTTGTTAGTTCATACAGTGGTCCATAGAGTTTACGTTCCACTGTTTTTCTTTCTGGCCAAAAGGTTTGCCTTAATGTGTAAAATTCGGTGCAGTCCTGGAGTACATGCTCTGCTGTCTGGGGCACATTTCCATGCTGAGTGACAGTATAATAACTTATTGTGCTGAGTGACAGTATAATAACTTACTGTGCTGAGTGACAATATAATAACTTACTGTGCTGAGTGACAGTATAATAACTTACTGTGCTGAGTGACAATATAATAACTTACTGTGCTGAATGACAGTATAATTACTTACTGTGCTGAGTGACAATATAATAACTTACTGTGCTGAGTGACAATATAAAAACTTACTGTGCTGAGTGACAGTATAATAACTTACTGTGCTGAGTGACAATATAATAACTTACTGTGCTGAGTGACAGTATAATAACTTACTGTGCTGAGTGACAGTATAATAACTTACTGTGCTGAGTGACAATATAATAACTTACTGTGCTGAGTGACAGTATAATAACTTACTGTGCTGAGTGACAATATAATAACTTACTGTGCTGAGTAATAACTTACTGTGCTGAGTGACAATATAATAAGTTACTGTGCTGAGTGACAATATAATAACTTACTGTGCTGAGTGACAATATAATAACTTACTGTGCTGAGTGACAATATAATAACTTACTGTGCTGAGTGACAATATAATAACTTACTGTGCTGAGTGACAGTATAATTACTTACTGTGCTGAGTGACAATATAATAACTTACTGTGCTGAGTGACAGTATCAACTTTAGTGTGATGAGCAGAGTATCACCGATGTATTTGTTAATCAGTACGATCAGCTGATGTTACATCTGCTTGCAGTATCGTCCCGGGATCGCAGACATCCAGGCATATACAATTGTGCCATCTATCGGTGCCATGGATTTGGGTGGAGCCTCCACTCAGATGACATTTGTTCCTGAAAATGGCACCCTTGTTCCTCCCGCCTACAGCCGACAGCTGCAGCTGTTTGGGCACAACTATACTGTCTACACCCACAGCTACCTGTGTTATGGAGTACAGGAAATCTCCAGGCAGATATTTGCGTATTTAATTTTGGTATGTGTTCCTACTTTCCGTCTCTTTGTGTGCAGGTTTGTTTGTTGCATCTGTTCTGTGTTTTTTATATTTTATGTGTGAGGTTGTATTCATGCGTATGCTCCTGAACTATAGTTGATGTTGTGTTTAACCGTGCATTGCCGTTTGTTCTTCCCCCTCAAGAGTTGTTGTAGATTGTGTTCTTGAGTGGGATGCAGGGTGAAATGTCTGCGGCAGCTTATTGTAGCAACATCATATCTGTGTTGTTTTTCATTTCTTTCACCTGTTTGTTGTAGAGTCATTATAAGCCTTTTCATTTGATCACTCTTGAAAGATAAAGCTGGAAGACTGGTGGCTTCGGGGAGTTCTCTTACAGCTGTATGTCAATGCTGTCCTGTCTTAAACCGTGGCTTCGGGGAGTTCTCTTACAGCTGTATGTCAATGCTGTCCTGTCTTAAACCGTGGCTTCGGGGAGTTCTCTTACAGCTGTATGTCAATGCTGTCCTGTCTTCAACCGTGGCTTCGGGGAGTTCTCTTACAGCTGTATGTCAATGCTGTCCTGTCTTCAACCGTGGCTTCTGGGAGTTCTCTTACAGCTGTATGTCAATGCTGTCCTGTCTTCAACCGTGGCTTCGGGGAGTTCTCTTACAGCTGTATGTCAATGCTGTCCTGTCTTCAACCGTGGCTTCTGGGAGTTCTCTTACAGCTGTATGTCAATGCTGTCTTGTCTTCAACCGTGGCTTCTGGGAGTTCTCTTACAGCTGTATGTCAATGCTGTCTTGTCTTCAACCACATTTCTGAAGCAGGATGACGCCTGCTTAAAGAGAATAAAGTTTTCACTTTTGGTCCCTTGGCCTTGGACAAGAAGAATTTAGAAACTGTTCTGGCTTGTTGGCCTGGCTACAAATGATGTAGTGTGATAATTCTGAGTAAAATACAGCCATGCCTCAGGGGCGAGGGGATGACTATTCAGAACAGAAAGTCATCATGACCTTGAGAGACAGGCATAGCCAGATAAAGAACCGCTCGAGTGGGCCTAAAGAAAAGAGCAGAGTAGCCAGGTTGCGTTAACTTCCCAACAAGAAAATTTAAAAGTTACACCTGGCTTCTGAACCGAGTAAAATGTTTTATTCGCAGTAGAAATGTTTGAAATACTTAAATATTTCAAGAAAAGTCTTATTCCATGATCAAGAAGAAAGTCTTTTACCTAACAAACATTTATGTAATGATGTCTACATGTGAAACATGTGCCTGTTTTGTTACATGCAGACATTAGCGGCTGTTCCTTGGCTATTTCACACGTGTGCTTACACAGAGTTTAATGAGCAGATCAATGTGCACAGGGCTTCGTGTTCTAGAAATGCATTCTTCAGAAAAATTATCTCAAATTCCTGTGTCCAGTTTTCATACAAAAATACTAAATTGAAGTAAAAGGCGAAACGTGCCTATGCTAGCTATGGTGACAAGTACATGTTCTGTTCCATGTTAATTGACTGTTGCCTGTGAAGCAGGCAGGTTTGCACTATCGGGGGCAATGAGTGGAATATAACGATCACACTCAACATGTATCTTTCATGTTGAGTGTGATCATTATATTCTACTTGTTTCATTCATATAAGGAATTGTGGTTTGTGCAAGTGTTTTGGCTAGATGCTGTCTACGCAGTAGTGTTGTCGCTGCTATTGTTAACTCATTTCATATGCTTCCCTAATTACATACATATTTTTTGCCTGCGTCATGAACACTTCATGCTCCCTAAAGGACAAACTCTGGCCTTCCCATAATCTATCATGTTTATGCAGTCCAGAGGTTATCTACCCAATTGTCATATTCATTATATTTCATGCATTTAGCCTTCCTTTCCTTTTTCACAAGCTCATCTCAGTACTGTCGTGTTTTCAGCCATATCTCAGTGCTGCCTATGAACTCTGTCATGTTTTCAGCTATATCTCAGTGCTGCCTATGAACGTTCATGAAATATCTAGCCTGAGAGTTCATGAAATATGTAGCTTGAGAGTTCATGAAAGATGTAGCCTGAGAGTTCATGAAAGATGTAGCCTGAGAGTTCATGAAAGATGTAGGCTGAGAGTTCATGAAAGATGTAGCCTGAGAGTTCATGAAAGATGTAGGCTGAGAGTCTTATGTAGGCAGATAGACTATGACTGATGTAAGGTGGGAGTAAATGACAGATGCTGTCTGAGAGTGCGTCAGAGATGTAGTCAGAGAGTTTATCAGAGATGTGGGATGAGAGTTCAACAGTTATGTAGGTTGAGAGCTTACGACAGATGTAGGCTGTCCAAGAACTGTGTCCAGGTGTGTCAGGAGCCGCTATTCGGGACCCGACAAATTGCAAGCACTTGTGTTTCACCAGGAGCAGCCAGGCGACACCAGTTTAGACCACCCGTGTCTACCACTTGGCTTCAACGTGACACGGACAAGACAGCAGATCTTTGCTTCTATGTGTGTCCCCGCTGTTCCACCTGAGCTGGTAAGTTCTCTTGATGCTGCACTACAGATGTATCTCTGCTATCTCGTCTATAAGTATATCGTTACAGCGTTAACTGTTGTCTCGGTGGTCTATAACACTCAAAACCCAAGACTCAACACCCAACGCTCAATACCCAACTCCCAAAAACTCAGCATCCAACATCCAAAACAGAACACCCAACAATTTTCTCACCCTGAAATTCATCGGCTAACAGACAGACCGACAACATACCAGAAATAGTCAAATAGATAACGTACTAGAAACAGACGGACAGACAACATTTAAAAAAACAGGTAGACAGACTGCATACCATTAACAGTCAGACAGTTGCATACCAGAAGTAGACAGACAACATACTAGAAAGAATCAGACAGACAACAACCTAGAAACGATCAGACAACTCACCAGAAACAGTCGCACAACATACCAGAAACAAACAGACAGGATACCAGAAACAGTCAGAATAACAGCAAACCAGAAACAGACAGACAGAAACGCCCCCCCCCCCCCTCAAAGTTCAGACAACATAGCAGAAACAGTCAGACAGACAACATATCAGAAACAATCAGACAGACAACATACTAGAAAGCGTCAGAAAGAAAACGGTCGTGTGCTAAACTCACGTTGCTGTTCAATTGTACCTGAGGTCAGAGGCGTGATCGCCTACGCAAGCCGTGAAGGCGCTAGATGATGATGAGGATGATGATGATGATGACAGAGACGAGTGCAAAGGGTCCACGCTGCTTGACGCGTGAGACAGTGGTTTTTTAAGATTAACGGCTTACAGCAGTCTCCACGTGTATTGCAAGAAGTAAACGTGACTAGCCGCTGAGCTGAAGGTTAACCCGTGTCCAGTCAGTTCCTTTAGGGCAGTCTTAGTGTGTGGACTCCTTGAGTTTGTTTTGTTCCCGCCCGGTGTGTTTAAACAGAGTATTTCTAGTTTGTTGGAGCTCCTGTGAATTGTCTAATGGGTTTTGTGGATCGTGAGATAGACTTAGGAATTCTGTCTGTGTAATTTTCCAGAATGAACGGTTGTGCGGCCTGGGTGTGTTTGTGTGTGTGTGTGTGTGTGTGTGTGCGCGCGCATGCTTGCGTGCGTGCGTGTGTGTGCGTGCGTGTGTGCGTGCGTGCGTGCGTGTGTGTGTGTGTGTGCGCGCGTGCTTGCGTGCGTGCGTGTGTGTGTGTGTGTGAACCACCGTGGAAGTTTGATTGGGAGGGAGGGGAGGGGGAGTGTCGAAGGAAGTCTGGTTAGTGGGGTGCTGATCACTGATGCTTCAATGAGTGGCTGAGATAGCAGGTTACGGCCTGGAGCTTTCACCAAGAGAATCCTTGGTGACAGGGCCTTTCAGGCATCAACGTCAAAGGATTGTCACTGCACATCACAAAGGATTGTCACTGCACATCACAAAGGTGTATCTGCACATCACAAAGGTGTATCTGCACGGTCAGGTGTGAGCTGCCCGTAGCAAGCACGTGGGACAAAGCTCGCTTGTGTGTTTTGTCCACGTCTGAAGTGACTGTCGAGGTGAACATTTGGGAAGGCAGTAGTTCACCACTCAAAACGTCCTTTCGTTCATAATAAAGATACGGATGCAGTATTACAGAAATGACACTTTGGTGTATTGGAGGTGACTTTGGAATTCCAGTGTTTTTAGTGCGTTGTCAATTCAAAAACGTGTTTATGTATGGGAAATCACCTAGACACTTGGCCAGATATGCTCTCCATCCCCATTGAATATAGCAATAACGTAATAGAAACAGTCAGGCAGACAACGTATCAGAAACACTAAGAAGAAAAAAAACATTCTAGAGCAGCCAGACAGATAACATACTAGAAACAGTCAGCTGGACAACATACTAGAAACACTCAGACAGACAACATACCAGAAACAGACAGACAACATACTAAAAACACTCAGACAGACAACATACCAGAAACAGTTAAACAGGTCGGCATACAACATATCAGAAACACCCAGACAACAAATCAAAAACATTCAAACAGACAACATACTAGAAAGAGTCAGACAGACAACATAATAGAAACAGTCAGACAGACAACAACCCAGAAACACTCAGACAGACCCAAAAAAAAAACATTTAGAGTGACAAAAGTTTATGTGTAGGCGGGTAAGCAACTTGGTTCAATGATGCCTAAAACATGTCTCACCCAGATCACCAACTACACATTCGTGGGCAGCAGCAATCACAGCAAGTGCTCATTGTTGCTGCGCCGAGCATTGTTCAACTTTAGCTCCTGCTCTTACAGCTCGTGTTCCTTCAATAATGTTTACCAGCCTCCAGTTTCTGGCCCATTCTATGTAAGTACACTCTGCGCACACAATATATCAAATATCTCTGTAACAGCAACATCACTGATATCTCTGTAACACAAACATCACCGATACCTCCGTAACACAAACATCCCTGATATCTCTGTAACAGCAACATCACTGATATCTCTGTAACACCAACATGACTGATATATCTGTAACACAAAAATAACTGATATCTCTTCAACACAAACATCACTGATTTCTCTGTAACACAAACATCACTGGTATCTCCGTAACACAAACATCCCTGATATCTCTGTAACAGCAAAATCACTGATATCTGTAGGACAAACATCACTGATATCTCTGTAACACAAACATCACTGATATCTCCGTAACATAAACATCACTGATATCTCTGTAGGACAAGCATCACTGGTATCTCTGAAACATCAGTATCACTAATCTTTGTAAAGCAAAAACAAAAACTGATATTCCTGTAACACAAACGTCACCGGTATCTCGGTAACACAAACGTCACTGATATCTTTGTAACACAAACTTCACTAAACATGATGATATCTCTCTAACACAACCATCGTTGATATCTCTGTAACACAAACTTCACTAAACATGATGATATCTCTCTAACACAACCATCGTTGATATCTCTGTAACACAAACTTCGTTAAACATGATGATATCTCTCTAACACTACCATCGTTGATATCTCTGTAACACAAACATTATCGGTACTTCTGTATCTTTGTAACATATTATCACTGATATCCCTGTAACACGAACTTAACTGATATATCTAAACACAAAAATCACTGATGTCTTTGTAACATAAACATTATAATTATATATGTAACTCATCACTGAAAACACATCACTGGCATCTCTGTGGCAGAAACATCTCTATCTTTGTAACTCAAACATTGCCGACATCTCTGTGTCACAAACATCACTGATATCTCTGTAACATATCACATGTATCTCTGTGACCAAAAAATCACTGATATCTCTTAAACACAAACATCACTTGTGACTCTATGCTATAGACTTGCTGGTGGTCCATCAAAGGGTGACAAAGCCTAGAAGTACCCAGATTGTAGGTCTGGAACGTGTGACCCGGTTTCTTCAAACAGTGGATATTTCAAATCAGTATCAGTACTTGCTTTCTGTTGCAGGCATTCTCCAGCTTCTATTACGTGTCAAACTTCTTAAACCTGTCAGACAGTGATTCCAGCAGCTTTCATCACCAGCAGCTTGAAAAAGCAACAGAGCATCTATGTGGTAGCAGCTGGGCGGAGGTAATTGGTTCTGTTGTCTGGGAGCATCTGTGAACATTATCGACAGTAATGCTTGTCTGATTTCGTTATGCCAAATATGTTGGCTCAGACGTGTTCAATGCACAAAAGAGTGGCTCTAGTAGCTGGTGATAGTTGTTGGGGAAGCAAAACACAATGCAGGTTGTTTTCTCTTCATTGATATTCACTAGCCATATTTTCTGACCATTCTTCTAACACTAAAAAAGCTTGTTGCATCTTATTGTTAGCTGTACTCATGTTTTCTTCGCTAGTCCATTTAGCTAGGTCGTCTGCAAAGGATGAGATGTGAACTCTGGCTGGAAAATTATTTGAATTGGCATTCATATATGCTATGTAATGAGGAAATTTCCCGGGGAACCCCTCGTGACGTGGGAGAGTGACAGGCCAGTAAGAAGACGGGATTCACCTAAAAAGAAAAAACGATAGTCATGGGGGCAGTGAATAGTTACTAGCCCAAACTCCAAGAAAAGGGAACAAGGGTTTGGAAAATCAAATGAGATAAGGGCAGTTGGTTTTTGGGCAGGAATGGAAGGGGCCAGAATGTGCTGAGCGGAGGAATTGTCTTTAAAATGAATGTCGTCTGCATCGTGAAAGCAAGTGGATGGCTGCAGTGTTGAATTCGTGAGACTACCGACTGGACTGCACTGTTGTTGGAACGGCAGTAAACGTTTGACCGACTCCAGTGCGTGTGGCTTATATCATTGTGTTCTATCTCGCTCAACAACATGATATAAGTTAGAAACAAGTCCAGGCAGGTCCAGTTAATGGACTTGTTCTCCGGTTCGCAAGTTTCTTCTTCTTCTGCTTTTCTATCCCCCAATGGAGCATAAGCCCTCAACCAACTCACGCCAAGTCGTTCTAACCTTCGCCATTACATGGAGCTCTCCCCATGTCCTCTCCATCTTTCTAACTTCATTCTCAAGCTCTCTTCTCCATGTGTTGTTTTTTTTTTTTTTTTGGGGGGGGGGGCCTTCCTTTATTCATGTGCCCCTGTGGGTTTCAATTTCTCCTGTTTTCTCAGTGTGTGTCCTATCCAACGCCAGCGTCTTTTCCTCACCTCTTGGCCCACTGGAGCCTGTTTAATTCTCTTCCAAAGCTGTATATTAGTTATTCTATCATACCATTTCTCTTCTTCTTTTCATTCGGTTTTGTATGCTCAGATTAGACCATCAGGTGGGTTGCCTCTATGAACTTACCATCAGGTGGGTTGCCTCTGTGAACTCGCATGTCAGCTGCAGGTCCTGCATGGTTCCCCATAGCTTGTTCTGCACACTTTGCTCTTGAGGCCAAGTGTCTTTTCGAAGTTGCAAGTAGAGTGGGCAGGTCTGCAAAATGTGCTGAGGTGTTTGGGGTCCTGTTTGACTGGCACACTGGGGAGACTACAATCTTTATTTTATGCATGTGGTAGTTGAGCCTGCAGTGTCCTGTTCGTAGACGGAAAATTGTTGTATGTCGCTTTTTATTTAGTCTGCTGATGGGGTCTTGTGGATGTTTACTGTTAGTTTGTTCTCTCCATAATCCCTTGTATTTTCCTTTGATAAGTGTTCTGATTTCTGGTAATGATAATGTGGGCATGTTGTTTCTCCTTTGTTCCTTTTTTGCAAGTCTGTCTGCTAACTCATTTCCTGGTATGTCGCAGTGAGCCGGGATCCACTGGAGAACGATTTTATTGTTTTCTGTGAGTCTGTTTAGCTGGTGGGTCAATTCTCTCTCTGTGTTGTCTCGTGGATCCCTATGTGTCGCCTGGAGGACTGACATGCAGTCGCAAAGGAAAACAATTGTGCTGTTTTTAATTTTTCTTTCCTCGAGCACTTTGGCTGAATTAATAATTGCTTGCTGCTCTGCTCTAAAGTTTGTTGAGTCTTCAGGACGCGCATGACGTTTCTACTGTGGTCCCATCTTGCAGCATGATGACCGATCCAGCTCCTCCATTTCTGTCTGCCCCCTCCAATGATCCATCGGTGTATACGTGTGTCCATTCGGGTTTTGGAAAACAGTTGAAGACATGCTCAAGGGTCTTTGCACGCAGTACTAGGTCACATTCTTCAGCCTTTCTGTCTATGCCTGGAATTGTTGTCGTGACTGTATAGTTAGGCTGTAGGTCTATGCTCTATGTTTAGATCCTTTCCCACGTTGAAGGATCTTTAGAAAGGATGTCACTATTTTTTTGTGTAGTACAGTTTTGATAGATGGTGAAAGCTTTGTCTTTTCGGTCGGTTTTTTTTTTTTTTTTTTTTTTTTTTTTTTTGGTGTTAAGTTATTTGCTATTCTGTGCATGGGGTTGTTGTTCATGCGTTTACATTTTTCTGTAAGAGTAAGCACCTTTTCTTGCCTTCGAAGGCATAATCTCTCGAGGCCACAGATTGCCTCCAGTTCATTAATTGGTGTGCTTCTCATATCTCCAGTGATGATTCTGAGATCAGTGTTCTGTATTTTGTCCAGTTTGTGTAGGTTTTATTTGGCTGCAGTAGAGTATGCTCCCGTGCCATACTCCAGTTTTGGTCGACGTATCCTGTGTATACTTGACGTACAGTGTTGGTATCTGCACCCCAGCTTGTTCTAGTAAGTTTCTTTATAAGTCTGAGCCTCAGGGTAGCTTTCCTTTGGGTGTCTTCAATGTGGGGGTCCCATGTTATCTTTTTGTCAAATTTTACTCCCAAATATGTGGGGTTTTCCTCTTTTGGAAGGATGTTGCCGTCTAGGTACAGATCAACTTGTTCTGGCTTTGTGGAAAGAGAGAATAAAGTTGAGACGGTTTTGGTCTGGTTTATTGTGACTCCCCAAGAGTCTGTCCATTTCTTAACTGTAATTATAGCTTCCTGCATTCTTGTTTTAGTTGTTCCCATATGTTCAGCTTGAGTCCAGATGGCCAGGTCATCTGCATGTAGCGCCTTGTGAATGTGAGTTGTCAACTGTTTCGGGAGGTCATTGATGAACAGAATAAACAGGGTAGGAGATATAATACTTCCCTGGGGGACACCTTCTTGTAACCTGACCAGCTTACTCTTGTGATTTTCCAGTCTGACTCTCGCACAGTCTGTAAAGGAAGTCTCTAATCCAGGCAAACATATGCCGTTTTATCCCAGAGTGTGTTAGTTTTAGCAAGAGTCGTTTCTTCAAGACCTTATCGAAGGCTTTGGTCAGGTCGAAGAAAGTAGCTAGCAGTTTGTATTTTTTTCTGGAAAGCATCTTCAATTTCCTGTGCGAGATAAGAGGTTTGGTCATCAGTGCTTCTGTATCTCCTGAAGCCTGATTGGCTGTCATCTAATATCTTGTTTTCTTCTAGAAAATTAAGTAACCTGTTGTTCACTAATCTTTCCATGGTCTTTCCAAGGCAGCTTAGGAGGCTTATGGGGCGGTAACTTCATTTGTTTTCCTTGAGCTTTCCTTTCTTGACTATGGGAACTATTTCTCCCTTCTTTCATTCCTTTGGAAGTAGTCCCTGTGCCCAGGATTGGTTTATTAGGCCTAAGAGTAGTTGCTTGCCAGCTGGTCCTAGGTGTACTATCATTTCATTTGTTATTCGATCAGGTCCAGGTGCCTTCCTTTTCTTAAGGTTTCTTAATGCACATTCAAGTTCTTGGGGACTGAAGAGTTTATTCATTATGTCTTGGTTATCTTCTTGCTTTTTATTTATTCTCCTCAGTTCTCTCGTCACTTCTTCTTCTCTCTCTCTCTCTCTCTAGACATGAAGATTTTGCTTTCCCCTGCAAAACTATCAGCCAGCAGGTTTGCTGCTTGTTTACCACTGAATGTTTTCCCACCATCTTCAATGACAGTGTGGGCACGGCTGGTATTATTCTCCTTATTGAGACTCTTTACTAGATGCCATAGCTTTATTCTATCTTTCTCCATGTTGAGAGCTGCAGTCTTTTGCTGCCAACTTGTCCGGATACATGTGAGTTTTTCTCTTCTATAAATAGCCTGATGTTTATTGTGTTCTGTTACGTCGAGGTCAGAGGGATCTTGTTCTGTTTTTTCTCTTGCTTCAGTGCTTCTTTGGTGCAGTTGTTGCAGTTCTTGGATCCAGAAGGGTTCATAGTTTTGCCTTCGACCTCGGGGGATTGATTTTTGTGCTGCTTCGAGTATGATATTGGTAAGAGTTGTGGTGTTTTTTTCTAACCTCATTAGTGGAAAAGGGCTCTGATAGTTTCTTTTGAGTTGAGTTTTTGTAGAGGTCCCATTCTGCTTTATTGTAGTTGCAGCTGGCTATCTTCTTCTTATTTTCTGGAGGCTTGACCTATCCTATCATGGCGATGACTGGTTTGTGATCCCTTCCTCCCAGCTATTTCATCACTTCTCTGTCTTCCCTACGTTAGATGTTTTCTGTAGCTATAGCTAGGTCCGGTGTACGTAGGGTGTGTGTGTGTGTGTGTGTGTGTGTATGTATGTATGTATGTGTGTGTGCATGTTCGTATGTATGTGGATGTATGTGTGTACTTAGTGCCTATATGTTTGTGTGTGAGTCATTGGGCTTGTGTGTGTATGTGGGTGTGTGTGTTCGCGCCTGAGCGTGCGTACATATTTTACCAGCCATGCTTTTGTTTTTTGGTATATAATATGCATATTATTACATGAATATAACATGCTTCATGAATATAACTGCTGTGTGAAAGATGGAAGTTTGGAAGGGCCGAATGTAAGACAGGCCTGCGTGCCTAATTTGTAACCCTTTGAAAATAAAGTTCGTTCGTTCGTTCGTTCGTTCATACTTTGTGTTCGCCATCGTCTAGATGCGCAGAGCTACCATCAGTAGTTTGGGGTGGATTCCTTCGAGGCTCGGAATCCGGCGCTGTTCCCGCCTGGCAGTAGTCCACAGGAGCCATAACAGTGTACGCATACTCATTATCTCTTATCACGCTCTCTCTCTTTCTTTCTCTCTTTCTTTTCTCTCTCTCTCTCTCTCTCTCTCTCTCTCTCTCTCTCTCTCTCTCTCTCTATCTATCTATCTATCTATCTCTGTATCTTCCCAATCCGTATGTGTACATGTATATGTATGTTTGAGTGAATATGATTGTTTATATTTGATAGTGAATGTATGCATACGTCCGTGTATGTATGTTTATGTATGAATATGTGGATATTTTTATGAATGTATCTATGTATGCGAGCATGTGTAAGGGCATACGTGAGATTACTTATCCGTATGAAAAAGGAAGTTCTGTTATGCATGTGTGTGTGTACGTACGTACATGTGTGCATGTATGTATGCGTATGTGAGAATGAAGAGGAAGTGGGTGCCTGAGTAAATGGGTGTGTGCGAGCATGCTTTTACCAACCACTGCTTTTGAGTTTTGCCCTCTTGATATTTGAATTAAGCATATTCATGATACCTTTGTTTAATATCCTAACTCATGATGTCTCTGTTTAATACCCTAACTCATGATGCCTCAGCTAAATACCTTAACTCGTGATGCCTTTGTTTGATACCCTAACTCATGATGTCTCTGTTTGATACCCTAACTCATGATGCCTCTGTTAAATACCCTAACTCATGATGCCTCTGTTAAACACACTAACTCATGATGTCTAAGTTCAATACCTTAACTCGTGATGTCTTTGTTTAAAACCATAACTCATGATGCCTCTGTTCAATACCTTAACTCATGATGCCTCTGTTAAATACCCTAACTCATGATGTCTTTGTTTAAAACCCTAACTCATGATGCCTCTGTTCAATACCCTAACTCATGATGCCTCTGTTCAATACCTTAACTCGTGACGTCTCTGTTTAATACCCTAACTCATGATGCCTCTGTTCAATACCTTAACTCATGATGCCTCTGTTCAATACCCTAACTCATGATGCCTCTGTTAAATACCTTAACACGTGATGTCTTTGTTTAAAACCTAACTCATGATGGCTCTGTTAAATACCCAAACTCATGATACCTCTGTTCAATACCTTAACTCGTGATGTCTTTGTTTAAAACTCATTATGCCCCTTAATTTTTCAGCTCCAGCAACTGCCAGCCAGCCAGCAACAGAAGCCCTCCCTAATGTTCTACTGCATGCAGGCTAACTACATCAACTTGTTGTTGTCTGAAGGTTACAACTTTACAGACAGCAGTTGGAAAGACATCCACTTTGTTCGCAAGGTAGGTCTGAAGGTTACAACTTTACAGACAGCAGTTGGGAAGACATCCGCTTTGTTCGCAAGGTAGGTCTGAAGGTTACAACTTTACAGACAGCAGTTGGGAAGACATCCACTTTGTTCGCAAGGTAGGTCTGAAGGTTACAATTTTA